GGAAGCATTCAAGAACTAGAGGAAAATTGTGTGTTTCGTCATTGCTACACTGCACCCAGACTGGCTCATCTCCTCCCCGCGGCCCTCATTTAAAACAAAGCACACACACACACACACACACACATATGCATAAACCCTATAGTCAGTAAGACTAGTAGTAGAAGCCTAGTTATGTCAACTAGCTATGTGACTTTTATTAAATTATACTAACTTCATTGAATCTTAGTTTTCTGATTTGTAAAAGTTAGGTAAAACACCTATTTTACTGTGTTACGAAAATAAATTGTATGCCACATATAAAATATCTAGCACAGTTGACGGCACATAGTAGGCATTCAACAAATGTACATAAATTTCCTTCCAGCCCATTGTATCCTCAAAGCAATAAATGATTTGGAATATAAAAACTGAATGAATACTAAGTTTGATGTAAAATCAGCTACCTTATTAAAGTCATATTAAAGCTAAATATTTCTTTATGTTTGCCACCCTTGGAAAGAGGTTCTACATCATGATTAATAGCTATCTGCAATATGTAAACAAATGAAAGTGAAAGGAAACATAAAAATATAGCATAAAATATAAGTGGCTCTGGTAAGAGTAATCAATGTATCATCAAAATTATATTTGAAATACATTATTATATCTTTTCCTCACATCAGGTAAATTTAAAACAAAACACTAATAATAAAATGAAAGCTATTCAAAAGTGATTGAAGAAATTCATATTAATGCTACATAAGTAATGATAGCATATTAAATGAAACACTTTTTAAACATGTTAAATTGATTATACTTACATATTTCCAATGTGTAAATGTTTCCATTAGATCAGCTTCAGGATTAAAAAAGAGATCTTTAAGGAGTCTATCTTTGTATTCTTGGTATATATAAATCCATTTGGTTTCACAACTCCTCTTAAGTTTATCTTGATGTCTTTTACACAAAAACAAGTGGCTATGTAAATTGGAAAAAAATATTTTGTTTAGCGTTTATGGGAAAAAAAGAAAATGAGAAAATTACTCTCACTTTTGAAAACATAGTGTATAAATGAACGCTGAGGGTCTATGGTGTTGTGAATTTTTAAGTGTTTATTATAATTAAACCTGATTGTGTATGTTTAAATATAATGACCAGAAAGCATGAGTGAATTATCTGTAGAGATAAGCATGTGTCCTTTTTTCTTCTTAGTGGGGCGACAATATTTTATTTCCACCTTGAAAAGCTACACTAGAACACTACTTTGTAAAAGAAATATAGTGTGTCAGAAAACAATTTTACCGGCCACAACAAAGTAAAAGTAAATAAGTGAGGTAACTTTAATACTATGTTTTATTCAACAAAATGCAACGAAAGTATTATCTGATAAATGGCATCTCTAATTAAATATTAAATATTAAAACTTAAATATTAAGTTTTTTCCTTATAGAATAAAAAACAAGATAAACATGTCTTATCTCACTACACCTACTCAGTATAGTGCTGGATGTACTTGTTATAAGGAGGTAATACAAAGAAAAGCACAGACAAATCCAGTGCAAAGATTCTAAATGTTAGTGATAAATTACAGGGGCCCAAAGAATAAAAACTTCTCTATGATCAAGTATTGGAAATTTATTTCATCAACAAATTAATGAGAAAAACCATTATATAAATAGATGCAGCAAAGTGAATTCTCA